GCTTACTGTGGTGGTTTTGTTAGGGAAATTTGTTTGTTTGTTTTTGTTTGTTTGTTTTTGTTTGTGAAGTCAGGAAAGAAAACAAAACCATCACTGGCCAGTTGGATAAAATTGATGAGGTTATCAATAGCTGGGGTGTTCTTCAGAAGGAGCAATTGCATATGGATAAATCAGAGCAAAGGAGTAAACCTCAGAATATTGGCTTCTTTTGATTTAATAAGTAGAAATTCATTGAAAACTGACACGAAATGCCAGCAATTTTTGTTCCTAAAATAAGTCAGCTTCCCATGCCTTCCACTTACCAGGAAGTGTTGGAACGCTCTGAAATGGGAATTTCTTTCAGAGCAAGGCAGAAAAGAAGGGATGCAGTTGGGAAATCTTTGGAGTTGGGTCGCTGAAGTGCCAACAGTTATTAATATTCCTGAGCTACTTCAAAGATCTCTTAAGACCCTTCTTTTTTAAAAAGATGTTATTTTAAGCATTTTGGCTGTAGGCATCTGTTAAACTTGTAATATCAGTTTTTTAATTTTTTTTTAATAGAAATTCTCTGCTGTACCTAGAATTAAGATGATTTTTTTTTTCCCCTGTGATAATAACACGCATGGCTTGCAGCTGCATTTGGGAAGGATTAAGGAAGTGACCTGTTAGAGTCCAGATTTTTACGCTTACCCGTGGCATCCGTGTGATCCCTGCTCAGATGTAGGTCAGGGGATTAGCAGGGGGAGCAGGGGGTGCTGGCACTGCTGTCTGCAGGTGGTGGTGGCAGAAGGAGCCACTTCCATCAGAGCAGGCAGCCAGCTGGGGGATTTTTCGGGAGGTGTTGTGTGGCTGTGTGGTGATGACCTCTCTGGCATGTCGAGGAATCAGCTTTTTAGGGGGAATTATTCCTGTTCTGTAGCAGTTTTGGAGGAGGCAGAAGTGCACTGTTCCTCTGAGACACTGGTTCCACTTTGGGACTCTGACTGTGAACCTGCCTTTGCTGAATTTGGGGTTTGCAAGGTCTTCCAAGATTTCCAGGTTTTGCTTCTTCCCTGAACTTTCTGAAATAAAAAGCTTTAATTATTTTTTCCTGAGTACTGGCAGCTGTTTGGGGTGGATGGGTTTGGTCTGGGGGGTTTTGCTGCTGTTATTTCTGTGGAGTTTTTTGGATTCTGAAGGAAAAGGAGGCAGTGAGGGACTTGTGAACTCTCTCAGTGCCCCTCTGGAGGCAGTTTGGTGGAAGGCTGTGCTGGCTGATGGGAGGCTGTTCCACGGAGATCTGTGCCTGGCTTTTCCTGCTGCTCTGTGTGACTGAGGCTGCAGCACGAAGGAATGTGGCCAGAACTTTGGAAGGCCCCTAGATCTGACCTTTATTCTTTACCCAGCAATTTTCCTGTGCTCTCTGCAGCCACGAGGAGGGTTTTTTTTTTTTTTCCTAATGGAGTCTTGCGGGTACATCAAGCACAAGTTTCTTCAGGAGGAAAAACATTTCACCAAAAAAGCACAAAAGCTCTTAAACTCCCCCTAGCAGTGACCCTTGGAGGGAGCTGCCTGGTTGGAGTGGACCCTGTAGTTCCATACTGAGCTGTAGGTAATAATGGAGCACTGGTGCAGGCAGGTTGCTAAGTTGCAGGTATTTTTAGCCTGTGGAGTTATTATTTGACTTGCACACTCTGCTGGAAACGGGAATCTGTGTGAGCTCTCCAAGCAGCCAGCGCGGCTGTTGCAAGAGGAGCATTAAGTTGTGGACCTGATGCTTGTTTTGTGGGTACTTCACACTAATATATGGAAAAATGTGTGCTGAGCACAGCGACTGCTCCAGCTGGGAACTTGGCACTCCCTCAGCAGCAGCAGCAGCAGCAGAACCAGTGCCTCCCCCAGCACACTGAGCCAGTGCCTCCCCCAGCACACTGAACCAGTGCCTCCCCCAGCACACTGAGCCAGTGCCTCCCCAGCACACTCAGCCCTGCTGGCCCTGCACGCCACGAGAGCTCTCAGGAAGTTCTGGAAGGACTTGTCCAACCCAGCACTGTCCCCAGCAGCTTCTGGCAAACCTGCCAGTGAGGTCCTGCTTGCCGTTCAGGGCTGATGTGCTGGGAGGTTCCAGACCTGGCAGGGGGATTCCCAGAAGGAAGACTTCCAATTAACGAGGAGGAGTTGTACCCTTTCACTTGAGCCTTATTCGGGGTTTATGAGTTTGTCATTATTATTTGGTGCTTCTGGAGGTTGTACTGCAGAGCTGCCCTGGTGGGAGGTGAGGGCAGAGACCTGGCTTTGTGGAGCACAGATCTGCCCTCCCCAAGGAGAGCCTGGATGAACTCCTGGAGGAGCACGTCCCCACGAGGATCCCAAACATCCCTGGAGTTCCCAGCTGCCTCCCAGAGCTGTTTGTGTTGTTAGTGAGGACCGAGCCATCAGGCTGAGGATGGGCTTTGTTTGGGAGGTGGTTTTTTTTTAATACAGAATAGCCTTGAAGCTTTAAATTTGAGACTTGTAATTACTGTTGCCTGGTGGCACGTGGACATTTCGTGATGTTGGCAGCGATCTGGCAGGGTCATCTGTAATGTGTTGGGCAGCAGGATGCTGCTCTGTGATGATAATCAGCTGTGGGGGCTGTGAGAAATAATTTGAATAGCCTGACTTGCAGTTGCTGGTTCCACAGACGTTCTCCCTGCCCGTGTAGGTGATATGATGGAGTGGGGAGAAGTGTTGGTACCTGAGCAGGAGCTTCTGCAGCCTAAATTAGGAACTGGCTGCCCACATAGAGCCATCCCTGCTGGGTGTGGGCTGCTGTTCACTCAGAAGGGAGAGAGACCAGGGCAGCAAAGCAGCTCCATTTGAAATTGCTGCTCTGCCTTAGTAGTAATATTGAGGTTTACTAGTAGGTTTTTTGGGTGGTTTCTCCAGTGAAATTGTTTCTGGTTGAGTGCTCTCAATAAAACAACCTGATGTGCCGCTTTTGTAGGAGGATGTGTTATGCAAGACATTTCTAAGATTGAGGCGGTGTGATGGTCATGGAAAGCAGTTTGTAGTAGTGTTGGGTGAGATCCATGTCAGTCCAAAATACATGTGTGTACAGGAGGCTGCACTCCTTGACTGTTTCCCGTGGTTGGAGTTAAAATCAGAATATTTGGGTTTGGAGTCTCCACCAACCCCGTGTGGGGCTCTGTAAGCGCTTGGGCCGTGCCCCAAGGACTCTGGGGGGCCTTTTGCTCCCTCCTGGTTGTGGAGCCCCCGTTCCTGGGGCTGAGGATTCCCAGCTCTGGGCTGGGCAGGGCTGGAGGGGCTGCTGGGGGCAGTGGTGGAGCTCCTTACAGAGCTGTCTGTGCTGAGCCAGTGCTGTGGTGTGTGCAACCAACAGGCCTCTAATTTTCATCTTGCTTTTACCAGGCTACATTTTAGCTAAAAATGGAAGCTTGTGGCCATGCAGATCTTTTTTTTTTTTTTTTTCCTTTTTTCCAGAAGTAGCTTGTCTGCTTTTTTTTTTTTAAATGAGCTCCATAGAATTGCCAATGTCTGGTTGCCAGGACTGCCCTCTGTGGGTATCACAGGGTGCTTTCAGCATCCCCAGCTGAGGAGGTAACTCAGCTCTGTGGAAGAGTTTGTGCTGTGCTCCCTTCCTCTCCTTGCAGGCCGGTTGAAGTAGCTTTGTCGTCGTTTTGTTTTCTTGCAGAAGGCAGGTGAAGTCTGCAGCTCTTCTCCTGCACTGATGAGGGGGCAGCCCAGGACAGTAATGGGGTGTGTTCTGGCCTTTGCTGTTAAATTTACTTGTTTGCTCTGCAGGTGATCCTGTCAGAATCCCATTGGGTTCTGTCCCTGCAGTGTGGGCAGAGTTGGAGGTTTCTGCAGGTTGCCCCTGGAGCTGCTGTGTGTTCAGCCCTGAGTGGCCCATGTGGCGTGTTTTGTGTCTGGGGGGTGGGGTTGGGCTCTGAGGGTGAGTTACTGTTTTCTGTCTCAAAGTGTGTTGTTCTGGCAGCCGCAAACAAAACTGCTTACACCGTGATGGTTTCATAATCACAGCATTAAACTGTTCATCTACAAATGAGCTTGGATGAGGATGATCCATATCCTAAGTAGCTTAACCTCCATACCAGACACTGGAGTGAATTTTCCAGCTAATAGTGAACTGCAGAATCAGAGATGTGAGAATTTCAGCTTAAAAGGCGGCGAGTTTGTAGGCTGGCGTTCTGATTTGTAGATTATTTTGCTGTAGCAGCCTCTTGCTCTGTGCTTAGGGTGATGTGCCCCTGTCCTGCCACCTGGCTTTGAACAGGAGCCCTGCCACCCCCACAGGTCCTGCTGTGTGACAGGGGCAGGTCCACATTTCCCTGTGCAAAGTGGTTGTCAATGTTTCAGCTCTTGGGAGGGAGCTGTCACAGTACTTTGTGCTGCTGGAGGACAAAATTGTTCCAAAATTTCTGTTACTGCCCGTGCTGCAAAGCCAGTGTGTGTGTGCTAAACCATCGTGTGGGGCCAGGCTGCGGGTGTGGGATTTCCTTAATGTGCCAATTTATCCCTTCTCTACTTTTTTTGGAGCTGTAACCTGTGGCAGAGCGGTGTGCTCTCACTGGAACTCGTTAGTAGGAGGTTTATGTAACTTCTGATAAAATAGATATCTTGATATTTGACTGTGCTCAGGAACAGGACTGAGCAGAAATAATTGCAGGGCTTTGAAAATGCTGGTTTTGGGGGGGACGGGGCACTTGGTAGGGCAGTGAAAACTACAGTCTTGAGTGAGTGAGATATTGTTACAATCCTAAACTCTCTGCTGGTACAGGCTTCTGTGTCACCAGGGGAAGAGAACTGATGGTGTGAGTGTTAAAAGCTTGACACGAGCAAGTCTTTGGGTTGTGTTACCAAAGCAGTGCCCGTGTCCTTCCTGCAGACAGGCAGCTGTTTGCCAGCTAACAGAGTTAGTCTGGGCCTTGATAGGGTTTGAATTGCTGCTAAATTTGTCAGGAATCGGGGCTCTTTCTCGATAATTGTGTTAATTCTGGCTTTGGTGTGGTTTTTTTTTGCAGAATTTACATGTTTGACAGCAGAAGTTGCCTTTCTACTGTAGTGAGAGAAAATGTAAGTACACAAAGAAGGTAACTTTTTTTTTTTTAGTGCTTGAGAAACATGCTATTTTTAAAAAGTGGCTAACTTGGGATTTTTGGCTGTTGATCTGTGCAAGCCCAAAGTCCCCTTTTTCTCCCTTAGCATGTGTATCCTTCTGTCAACAGGAAGGGTTTGAAAATGGCCAGGAAAGCTGCTAAATAATAGATGGGACTGCCTGCCTTGTGTCAGAGAGGGAACTGGCACAGCAGAGGGAGAGCACAGATGAAACTGTTTCATCTCAGTGGGGCAGGGAACTGTAATAAATAAAGTGATGAGAATAGTCACTCTCTCATGAATGAAAAATTACTTCTCCACCGTGTTTGACAAAAGAAGGCCAAATTTCTTTTGAGCAAAGTGGCTCTTGTCAGAATGTTCTTTGCAGTGTGGCAGTATTATTTAAACAGAACCTAAAAAGTTTCACAGTTTATATTCTGTGTAATTGTAATTATAACTAGAGCTCTCGGAACAGGGAAATCTTCATTACCTTCCAGGCTATAACTTGAGTTTCCGTGAAGCTCCTCAGTCTGGGAGGAAGGTTGTTAATTGGCCAAGTTAAATCTGTTCCAATTACTGGGTATTTACCTGCTTTTCAAAAAGCAGGCAGCAAGCTTTATTTCTCTCCCATCCTCCCTCTGGAGATGTGTGTCCTTCAGGATCTGAAGGCACCCTGAATTTTTTATCTCCTGTTTCCGATTATATAAACGGGAGAGGCAACACCTCAGATCTGTTCCACAAGCAATTCTGATCTCGCTGTATTTTTCTACTGAACAACAACAAAAAAAAACCCAAAAATCAATATATACTTCTGCAAACCACAAAAAAAAAAAAAATTAACAAACCCAACCCTCAGCTTTCCAGAGCCCACACGATGTCAAAGCGCTGGAAGTGGCAGCGAGTTGGGTGTAATTCCTTTGTCATTGGGAAAATGCACAAGCTGCTGTGCCTGTTGCTAATAGGATTTGTGGTATCCTCTGGATTAGCACAGCTCCATTTAATCAGATGCCCTGCTCTGAGCTGTCTGCTGGGCATGCCCTCAGCTCCTACTGGGGCTGCAGAGTTTGGGCTCTGCTCTTGCAGATGGTGTGGGGGGTTTTTTTGGGGGTGCTTTTCATCCCTGTTGGGGTGATGATGGCAAGAGAAGGGGTGGAGGGAACAAATGTCAGACAAATTGGAGAAAGGGGATTTGCCAAACCTGCTTAGGAAATTACTGTGCTTGGGTAATACACAAAAATTGGCTTTAAACCCTCGGCGTTACCAGACTCTGCATCAACAATGGCTCAGTGGGATTATGTTACTTTTTGGTAGTAGTGATGTGTGCTAAAAATATCTTGTGGCAAGCAAAGTTTGGCCATCAAGGGATAGAAGTTCTAAACATTTGACTTAATGATAGCTCTGCTTTCAGATCTGTTTTTTTCTTCTTTTAATCTGGAGAGATTTTTCACAGGAGAAGATGGAAGACTCCTCCTTTTTTTACTCTTTTTTTTTTTTAATAGGAATGCTGTGAGAAGATGAAATACAGTGTTCAGTAAGCGCAGCCTCACTGCTTTTATTAGGTAGTTTTAGAGAGGAATAATATTTAACCCAGGAATGTATGTTTGGATTTGTATACTCTTCCCACTGCTCAAGCATCAGGCTGCAGATAACTGTGACAGTGTTAATGATGCCTTGGGTTCAGTAGCTGGGCCTAATTGGATAAGCAGCTTGAGCTGGGGAAAGGACACTGGAGTTGTTAGAATGAAGTGAGGCAATCTGAGTTCTTCCTTAGCCTTGGGATTTTTCTGTCACTTGTTTTCTGAGCACTGAGCTTTACCTTTAAATGAGAATATTGCCCTGGGCTCCAGACTCCAGAAGGCTTTTTGCAGCTCAGAAAGTTGGGGCAAGGTTGTTGGACGCTGAGCTGGCTGCCTGGACTTCCATAACTCTCCTTTTTCACAGGAAAAAATCTCACCTGGGTTAGAGAAAAGCAAAGCCAGAGCTGCTCCTCTGAGGGGGTTTGAGTCATCCCACGGGATGCAGCGAAGGAGGCCAAGTCAGGAGTTGGTTTTCCCGTGTGGGAAGCAGAGGAACAAAGTGGCTCTTCCCTGGGGAAGCTGGGAAAAGGGATGAGAGCCCTGGGTCACCTGGGGCAGTGGGAACAGGGGACTGCCCGGCCAGAGCACAGATTGTTGGCCCCAGCAAGGGGAGAATTACCTCCAAGGTGGACTACAGGATTAGGGGAATTAGGCTTAGGGCAGAGACACTTAAGCACTTCAGCCTCTGCAAAGGGCTCCAGTGAGGTGGGGAAAGTGGCTGTGTTACTGCTGAGGAGCTGATTCACTGGCACAGGGGAAGGAGAGGGAGGTAAGCATGGTCTGGCTGCTGCCTGCTTCTTGATAAGGAGGATGGGGGGAAAGGGATGTGGAGCTGGAGGAGGGACTTCTCTTGTGAGGTTTGTGTGGTTGAGAGGCTCAGTAACTTCTTTCAAAACTCCAGGAGTAGAATCATCATCCAGAGGTTCTTCTAGAAACCTTCTTTTAAGATGGGGTTAAGTGCCTTCGGAACATGCTAAGAAGAATCTATTATTTCATGATATTTGATTGTGTTTGTTTGCAATGAGCAGAGAAGTAAGAGCAGAGACTATTTAATATATGATCTCTGTCTGTAATAGGAATAAATCTGTGTAAAAACTTCCTATGTACCAAGAGTGAGAAGAGACAAAAGTATTCTGTGTTCCCATACAGTTCCCTGACCTTACCTGTTGTCCTTGGTCATCTAAAGTTATTTTTTTCAGTGCAGGATACTGGTAAGCTCTGATTTACAGCAGAAAAAGGACACAGGAGGATGCAGCCCTTTTTTTTTTTTTCCCCATAGAACTGGTATTTCTACCATAAATTTAATTGTCTAAGGCTGAGTATGAAAGAAATAGAGGAACAGCCAGGCTGGTTTGCTGTTTGTCCCATAAACTTTGCAGTCTTCTTCAGAGAACTCCCTATATTTTAAAGCCCTTGGCTTGGTTAGGGTTTTCATTTCCTGAGTGTGAGTGAGTTCAGTCATGTTGGCAGGAATTGGAACTTCCTGTTGATGTTGAAACAACAAAGACTACAAAGGGAATGTGGAAATCTGGTTTAAACAATTCCTGTGGATGCTGACAGAAAGGCAGCTCAGAGGTTTTGGAGTTGCTTGGAGCTCTAAAAGTGTGTCTGGGTAAGGGGATTCACCTCCCAGGGCCTGTCCCTGCTCCGTGCAGGGAAGCTTTGTTGCATTTAAATGCCAGGGAGTTCTCTTGCACGGTGCACAGAACCTGCAGGAATAAATTGGCACTATTTTAAGGAGATTATTCCTCCTGTTGTATTTCTAAATAAAGCTGCATGGAAAATCTTCAGTTCCCTTTACCTGCAGCTGGAGTTGTGGTGTCCTGAATCTTTATCATGATCCCATCAGTGAATTGTTGTGACCTTGAGCAGAGCACTCAAGTTTTGGATTGTGATTTCTTGCTCTGAAGTGGGAATGATACAATCTCTGAATTCTATGTCTGGGAAGGTCAGTGTTTGCTCAGTGGGAAACGGGCTTATATATTAACCTGGAGAATGGCAGAAGTAGGACTGAAATATCTGAGGAAATGCAGTTTATTCTTAAAAAACAGCCTTTAGAGTTTGTTTGTGACGAGAGCAGAGCGTTCCTGTTCCCCCAGGTGTGTGAACTGCAGATGTGCTGCAGGTGTGGGGAGACCCACGGGGTGTTTGTGGGAGGGGTGGCACGAACAGAACATCTCCAGGAACAAAAGAGCATTCAGGAGAGAAGGAGGATAATGAAACACCCGGGGTGGGTTTTGTCTTAACTGGATTTTGGACTGAGCTGAACAAGCAGTCTTAAGGGGGCTTAGAGATGACCCTGGAAGCAGAAGAGAGAAAGAAGAGACCTAATTTACAGGGGAGGGAAAGGGCCTTGGAGTTGCGTGAGGGGAGGTTTTGGGAGAGAAGCCAACTAAAATTCCTTTGCTAAAATATTGTGGGCTTCAGAGAATAGTGTAACTTGGAAATGATGCTGTGACAAGATCTGGCACTTGTTCTTGAGCTCCTGGGTTTGGAATAATAACTAAGATGGAGAGAGCTCCAGGATGAATCTGCTTATGGGGGATGGCAATATTGAGGCAATGCTGAAGTCTTAACTATTTTGAAACTTTTTTTTGACAGTGATGTTTGTTCTACTGCTCTAATTTGCCTTGACAGTGTGTTCTCTGTTCCTGTGGTGGGATAAAAACTTGGAAGTTCTCCCCCTCTTTCTCCTTGGGAAGGGCTTTAGGAGCAAAACAAAACCCGCATGCTTGCAAAGATAAATAAGCTGATTAAATCCTAACAGAATAATATGTAAAGCTGCTAGCAAAGCATTTGCTTCAGTTAATAGTAAAGGGTCAATTCTGGCTAATAAAATGTTCCAAAAACAACTGCCCATGTTTATTTATAAACAGGTGCTCCGTGCAGTGTTTGAAACTGGAACCAATTATCCCGTGCTGCGCAATAAAAGATGAACTTCATCAGCACGTTTCTTCAGCATCTTCTATTGCTGTCAAGCTGCACAGATTTTCAAACAAAAAGTTTGGGAGCAGCTGAGTTGGAGATGTGGAATGGCAGGGAAAATGCCAGCGGTGTCTTTGTGGAGCAGAGATTTTACAGAGCAGTTTTGTGCTCAGGGGGTCTGACTTCCCTGCCCAGTGTTTGGCGTTACCGGTGTTGACAAACCAATCTGCCACTTTCCTCAGGTGCTGCGTGAAATGACTTGTGCGCTCTTGCAGTGTGAAATGATGGCTTCTGCTCATCGTGCTGGTTTGCTGGTGTCTTTCAGATTTCTGGCCGTTTCAGAGGGGGCAGTGGAGCACACCTTTAGCACAGGAAAATGAGTGAGCTTGACCAGCTACGCCAGGAGGCCGAGCAGCTGAAAAACCAAATCAGAGTATGTACCGTGTTCTCGGCACAACTGGAGGGTGGTTTTGTGTCCTGAGGGGGGGCCAGAGATGGGCAGAGATGATGCATCCAATGCATCCAGGGTGTCGGTGTAGAAGGGGACAAGTGCATGTAACCACTTTACATTTTGGTCCTTGGTGTGGCTTGGAAAAGAATAGCTACATAAAAAATGCACAGCATGGCTCAGATCAGAAGGAATGTTTGCTGGGGATTTTCCCAGCCAGACCATGACTAATGTTAAGAAAGCCACTGCTTAAAAAATAAGGTCAGTGATAAGGTTGGTCAGGGCTTTGGCCAGGTAGGTCCTGAAAGCCTCTGAGGCCGCAGAGCCTGCCTGGATGAGCAGTTCCTGGCTCGGCTGTCCTTGTGGTGAACATCACGTCCCCTTTGTCCCAGAAGAAGAGGAGATTTCGAAGTGAGGTCCCAGTGTTGTGACAGCAGGCAGTGCATTGTGCTAATGCTGCAGGTGGGACGGGGGCTCTCAGGGTGACAGGCACAAATGCTTTCTGGACCTTGCCTTGAGGGGGTTCATCAACCTGACAGGACAGAGAGGAATAAATGTCCAGAACTTCTCCAATTTCTGTTTTCCTTCTCTTGCAGGATGCTAGGAAAGCATGTGCAGATGCCACCCTGGCTCAGGTAAGCATTTCAGAGTTCAGCAGCAATTAGGGAAAGTTGCCTCCTTTACAGAAGGAAAGTGTGGTTGAAGGAGGTAAATGCAGGGGAATTTTTTTTTGCCTCCTTTAGCAAGTTGTTTTATTTTGCCCTTGGGTGTTTTCTTCCAGAAATAAATACATGTTTGTCCAGTTTCTGAGAGCAGTGGCCTTGAGCAGTGGTTTGTTTGAGTGACTCAGGGCACATTGCTGCTGCTCAGTGGCAGATAATGCTGTGCTGTGGACACGGCAGCAGTGCTGTTGTGTTACCCTGATAATCTGAACCGTGGGGCCTGCTGGGGTTAAATGTCTGCCACAGTTATCTGCACAGGGGTATAAAACCCAGATCAAAGGTCTGAAATCCTAGAAGTCTAAGAATATTCAACCTCAACAAAGTAATTTCTGGGAGTCTGTAAATGCAACGGGGCCGCTTTCTCCGTGTGATACAAATCTGCAGTGTAGAGTGACATAACCTGGGATTGGGCAGTTGTAAAGAACTTAGTACTGAGAATGTAGGACTTTGGTCTGCCCTGGAGTGCTTGTTTAGGTGTAACTGTGGAGAGGGGAGGTGCAGTGAGTGCCCCCATTGCTGTTTCAGATCACAGCCAACATCGACCCCGTGGGGAGGATCCAGATGCGCACTAGGAGAACACTGCGGGGACACCTGGCCAAAATTTATGCAATGCACTGGGGGACTGATTCCAGGTGGGTGCTTGGGGTACAGAGCAGCTCGTGTGGCTTCACTGTGGCTTGGGAAGTGGAGTGCACAGGCCTTGGCACCGCTGGGAATCGCTCTGAGAGAGCTCAGCCAGCCAGGAGAACTCAGGAACACTGAGTGCCCCTTTTTCCCTCCTCACGTCCATGTTTTTCTAACCCAAATCAAAATTCGAAGCCAAAGTAACACTCTTGTCTGCTTGCCTGAAAAACACGGTTATGGTGCCACATGAACTCTGAGGAACAATAGAAATAGAGTAAATTCCATTATTATCAGTTGCCTTTTTTCCTTGAGCTCCCTGGTAACTGCTGGTGTTCACTTAAAGCAGCTGCACAAAGGGGTGCTCCTCCCTGTCTGCCCACAGTGATTGTGTTTCCCTCCTGTTTCCTCTCTAGGCTTCTAGTTAGTGCCTCCCAGGATGGCAAACTCATCATTTGGGACAGCTATACTACAAACAAGGTAAGGCCAGCGGGTGCATTTGGCTGGTTTGTAAATGCAGATGAAGGGAGTGCTCCCTGCCGTGATTTTGGCTGTTCTGCTTTGCCAGGCCCAGGTGCAGGTTCTGAATGCCCCAGAGCAGTCAGTGTGCCTGGGAATGGGCACCACAAATGGAAAACAAGGAGTTCCAGGGGAAGTTTGGATGTGTTTTGGTGCTGCAGAGAGAGTGATGAGCAGAGCGCAAGCAGTAACGAGCGGGTTGCACCAGCAGGGTCACAGAGATTTAGGCACAGCCCTGCTAATTTGTTGTCTGCAGTTCAAGCACTGCAAGACCTGCCATCCACAGTGAGTCATCACTCTGTGTGTGCAGTCACATGATGCAGTTCAGGGTTACTTTTACTTTTATCTGCCCGTGAGTGGTGGTTGCTGGTTATGGGCCCTGTCACCAGGGCTGGCAGTGATTCTGCTCACCCCTTGGAGCTGGGCTGGCAGAGCTGCCCCAGTCTGTGCTGCACAGGGCTGTGGAACTGGCTTTATTTCAAATACATTTTCACAGCATTAAAACCAGTGTTGCCAATGCACTGGAGCCAGTGTTGTGCTACAGGGGAGAGGGAAGCAAACAACTGCAGCAGCAGCTCCTGAGGCTGGGCTTATTGTTGAACCCCAGCTGTAAAACTGATGGATCCATAACTTCAGTAAAGAGTAATAATAGAGTTTGCAAATCAAAAAGTCTCCCTTTTGCTTTCACCCTCCTCCTCTGGCCTCAGCCTGCAGATAAATGCCATCTAAATTACTGTACCATCTGAAAGATGGTGAAACAATCACTGTATCCCATGATTCCTTTGTTAGTATCTTCAGTTCTTATATCTGTGCTCCTTAATCCATGCAATATTTTTTGGCAGTTCCAGCACACACTGGAAGTAACACAGTGTTGTCATAAATATGATCTTTTCCTGGTGGTAAAATAAAACGGCTCAAGGTGAATATTCCAACTGGTTCCTTGGCAGAAGGCTTCCAAAAATGAGCTGGTTGTGGGTTTAGTGCAGGGGTTGGTTTTGTTTAACTGCTGATTGTTGCAGGATCACTGGTCACTGTTCCCCTGCTGCTGCAGAAATTTTCACTTAAGGAATTCAGGGAGATTGTTGATACTGCCGGAAGTGCCACCCTATTGTCAAGGATATCGGCCCTTTCTTATGAGCAGATTTGAGGGATGAGCACAACGAGTTAACAAGACAGAACAGGTTTAGCTTCCATAATTATCTAAAAAAAGTTCTTGGAGTGCAGAATGACAAGGAAACGTGGGGTGGTTATTTAACTGTGAAGCTTGATTGCCTGCACTGGGCTCCCAGAGCAGGATTGAAATGGCAGTGGAAGCAGCGATTTCCTTACTTGCTCATTCACAGCAGCTCAGCCTGGAGCTGACTGTGCTTGGGAAGTCGATATTTCCCTGGACCTATAATAAACCAATAGTAATCAGAGCACTGCAATGAAATCATTCACTTCTTTACCAAAATTGCTGATCAAACTGGATCCAGGAAAGGCACATCTGAGGTTTGGTTACGTCACCGCTCGGTCTGACGAGCGAGTTTGCCCTCAGAATAGTTTTGGTCCTAAACCAGCTGTTTCCTCCTTGCCCTCCTGCCAAAGCGAGGAGGGTGTGCTGGGGGCCAGGGGAGAGGGTTCCTGGTGGATGCAGGGTGTCTGTGTTGCAGGTGCACGCCATCCCCCTGCGCTCCTCCTGGGTCATGACCTGTGCATATGCTCCTTCTGGCAATTACGTGGCTTGTGGTGGGCTGGACAACATCTGCTCCATCTATAACTTGAAAACTCGCGAAGGGAATGTTCGTGTGAGCCGGGAGCTCGCCGGGCACACAGGTGAGTGCTGCTCACAGGGCCAGCTTACCTGGGGAAAATCGAGAAAAAAAACATCTCCTAAATGCAGTTTGCCAGTTCAAAGGACAGGCTTCTTTTCTCAGGCAGGGCCTCAGCTGCTAACTGCCTGGTTTTCAGTGTTTTTAAACCCTTCTCCTGCTGCAGGACTGAACAAACCCCACAGCTGGAGGCTGATGTTGGCAGGTTTTCCTGTTTTGCTGTGGTTGGGATTTTCAGGAGATGTTTGTGCTGTGCGAAGTGGAGGTGGCTGGCACTGATTTTCATCATCAGAGTCGTTCCACTGATGGCCAGGCAGGTGGGACTGGAGCACAAAGATGCTTTCAGAGCGTTCAGATGAAGTTCTTTGATGCCACTGTTGGGAAATATCTGACAACCATGCTCTGGCTTTGTGCTGACCAGGAATGTAGGTTAATTTTCCCCCGCAGTTGCATGGTGCAGCTGAGGTTTGTCAGCATTTGTTGCTCCTGGGTGCAATGACAGTTTCTTAGTTTTGGGGGTGCAGTGCAGGCTCACCTGTCCCTGTCCCCAGCCTGGCCAGTGTGTCCCACACCTCTGTCCCCTCCCTGTGGCTTCAGGAGAGGGGGAAGCAGCACAGAACCGAGGCAGTTTGCAGCACGGAGAGTGACCCCTGGCCTTCCTTGTGCTCTGTTCCCAGGCTACTTGTCCTGCTGTCGCTTCCTGGATGATAATCAAATCGTCACCAGCTCTGGCGACACCACTTGGTGAGTGGGACATTTGGACCTGATTTCACTCAAGTTAACGTGCTATTGCAATTATTATTTTTTAATATATTACTGTTTTTTTAATATACAGTTATTTAGCTTTCAGAAATAAGTGTATTAGACTAATTACTTTCCCCGTGCTCTTTTTTGTGTTCAGTATTTATTACTTAAAAAGCCCTATTTGGATTTTTCTAATAGAGAATTTGGTTTCTTGTTATTCAGAAGAGCTCCTAGAAAATATTCCACAGTGACAGTAGCTGGGGTTTTTGAGGAGAATGTAGGTGTGTGTCTTCATAAATACTGGCTTCTGAACTATAAAAGGCCTCCATCTTTTCTCATAGGTGTCTTCATTATATCTAATTCTTAAAAGCACTGCAGTTCTCCCAGGCAGCAGCTCTTAAAGCAAAGGTTGTCTAATAAATACCTCTCCTACACAGTGTCAGTCTCTTTGAATGCCAGTTTATTAGGTCACTGATTCTGAGTATTGAATTTATATGGAGTTAAAAAATGTTTCTAAATATGTGTTGGTGTTTAAAACAAACAAACAAACAAAAACCCAACCAAAAGGCTTCGTTAAAATTACACTCTTTAAAAGTGAAAGCAGCTGCTTCAGGAGTTATCACTGTAATTCTAGAGTTGTCTGGATAACAGTTTGTCCTTGACATCACTTGAATTCAGCCAAGCTTCAAAGCACAGTATCAGAGCACAGTCAGCTCTTGTTTGCCTGGTGCAGAGCTGCCACTGCTGGGTCTGCTTTGCTGGGACATCACAGACATGAAAAAGTCTGGCTCTTCTTAAGGCTTTGGACCTCTTGCTAAGGAGGTGGTGGTGTTGTTTCATCCCTTTATGCTCTTTAATTATCACTGTAGTGGTGCTTTTGCTGACTTGCAGCTTTAGGATCAGACGTAATTCACAGAATTACACATCCTCAGAGGGCCTGTAAAAATGAGAAATGCTGGCTCAGCTCTTGCTGTAGCCTCACCACTCCTGCTTTATATGAAGCTGTGGTAGTACTGGACAAGAATTCTGTCTATGAACAGTAGTGGGTGTCAGTCATTTTTTTTTTTTTCCACCGTTTTTTAATTTAAACCCCCCCAGTATTACAGAATTGAATGTGGCTTTGAGGTCTTCCTTGCACAGTTATCCTGGAACAGCCAAACAGTTCAACAAGGAGTCAGTGTCAGTGCTGTCAGTGCTTTAGGGAGCTCTGCTCCAGCCCTGCTGCAGATGAGCAGGCTCAGAGAGGAGCTGCTGTCCCACCCTCTGATGGAGTGCAGATGCGCTGACTTTGCCTTTTCAACTCCTCCCTTTCCAGCGCTCTCTGGGACATAGAAACTGGTCAGCAGACAACTACCTTTACTGGGCACACTGGAGACGTGATGAGCCTGTCCCTGGCTCCCGACGCCCGGTGTTTCGTTTCTGGTGCCTGCGACGCCTCTGCCAAACTGTGGGACGTGAGAGAAGGGATGTGCCGGCAAACCTTCACCGGCCACGAGTCGGACATCAACGCCATCTGCGTGCGTACCGCCTGCCCTGGGGGCACTGCGGCTGCTGGGGCTGTGCTCTGGGCTGCAGTATTCCCAGCTTTTCCAGTTTGTGGAGCTGGGGTGGCGAGGGGGAGCTGGCTGTTCTTCCACGCTCATTTCCTCGCTGGTTTTGCCCCCTCCCCACCATTTCCCCCTCCCACGCTGCCTCCTCTTCCCGCCTGCGTGTGCAGAGCGGTGTGTTCAGCGAGGCAGAGGAACCAAACCTGTATAACCCTGTGTGTTTTATTTCCCCTTCCCCCTGCAGTTCTTCCCCAACGGCAACGCGTTTGCCACGGGCTCGGACGACGCCACGTGCCGGCTCTTCGACCTGCGGGCCGACCAGGAGCTGATGGTCTATTCACACGACAACATCATCTGTGGCATCACCTCTGTAGCATTTTCCAAGAGCGGCCGCCTGCTCTTAGCTGGGTATGACGACTTCAACTGCAACGTGTGGGACACGCTGAAAGCTGACAGGGCAGGTGAGGCCTTGGGGCTGGGTGGGGTGAGGGTGCTGGTGTCCCATCGGAACAGGCTGTGCGGGGAGCTGGGGGAGTCACCGGCCAGGGAGGCGTCCAGGGGGGTGATCAGTCAAAGACTTGGTGATCTCAGAGGTCTTTTCCAACCCTTAACGAGGCTGTGACTCCTCTCAGAACTCGCAGTCTCCCCTTCAGAACTCTGATAACCCATTCTGGGCTGACCAGTGGTGGTAACAAATCCGGCACTGCCATCAAAACGGGGGGTTGGGGTGGAGGGATTTTTTTATTTTTTTTTTAGACTTTCTGGCTTTGTTTATGTGTTAACTATTCAAAGCAATTCAACATTAATGTTGCTATTTATACACAGGAATTTCTTTTTTTCCTGGTGTTTGTAGCAGTAGTTGTAGAGACAACCAGCAAAACAACAGAGGCTGTGGAGTTTATCTTTTGAGGAAGTGAATATGAAATTTATGGTCCAAAGAAGAAGATAATTCAGCTTCAGTTCTTCAAAATGAAAACTTTTATTAGAGAAAAGGGGAAAAAAAAGATACAAATCAGGCTGCAAATGTTCCATTATTCTAATCAGAACAGGGGTTGAGAACAAGTATAATGTGTATTTAAATGTTCTAAGGCTTCAGCTGGCCAGGCAGATTGGGCACTTGTATCATACCTGACTGTCCATTAAACACCTTTGTGGTTCTCTTTTTAGTACAAGTTTATAAGACTTCTTGGTGCTGTTTTGGTTTTACCAAATTGCAGCACTTACTGTTGGTGGTAGAACAGGGAGAGTCCTGTGAACAGTCTTAATTCATGGAGAAAGATTAATTTCAAGTCTATCAGGAATATCTTGGCTCAGTGCTGTGGACTGGGAAGAGCTTGAAAATAATTAAGTTTTCTTTTTACCTCCCTGAAACTGTTAAATTGAAGGGGATAGAGGAAAATGTTGTCTCCCTTCATTTTTCTGCTTAGTGTCTCGATTCTTTTTTTTAATGGTGCTATAATTGAATTGTAGCACATCTCCATATCGACAAATAGATTGGATGGAGGAGTCTGTCTTGTAAAGGTAGTAAAGCTTAAATTGGATGAAAAAATGCTTTAAGTCCATAACATAATCCAGTTTAACTTCTGCTTTTACACATGTAAAAAATGTTGTCAAATTTACCTTCCCCTCCCAGGTGTCCTTGCCGGTCACGATAACCGTGTCAGCTGCTTAGGTGTGACTGATGATGGCATGGCAGTGGCAACAGGATCATGGGACAGCTTCCTCAAGATCTGGAACTGAAATAGGTGGGTATGCAGTGAATTCATGAGGGCTTGGCCTCCTTTAGGGGTCCAGAGTGCCTGTTCCCAGCTCCAGCCAGTGCTGTGTCACTGGTGCTGCATCTTATTATTCAGATTAGGGAAGTCACTGAGGCAAAAAAAAAAACTAAACCCAACCAGTTTGGTTTTTCAGAAGACCATTAGTTTAATGTATGCAATGACATTTCTCTGCTGGCCTATTTTTGCCATCCTTTATTGTCCTGTGCTGTTTTTTGGGCCTGGGTTGGTAAATAAGTGGCGTTGTGGAGGGGGGAGATAATGGCTGGATGCGTCAGTGGGAGCCAGAGCTGAGCTGGAAACTCGAGTGCAGTTTATCCCAGAGCAGCTCCTCATAAATAACTGTTTGTGTGTGGCAGAACTCGAGGACTCCACGACTGGAAGAAGTTCCCAACGAAATTAAACACGATAGCATATCCAATCCAACCATACTAACTCGGACCCCCATCCTCCCCAACTCAAAGGGCAAGATCTTCTCCGTCTCCTGTTGCTGAAATGAAGAGCACAATTACCTTTCCAAGAAGAATTTCTGTGTTGTAAGCAAAATGAAATTGTGCATTCCTTTTGGGACCATTTCTTTTTCTTTTTTTTTTTTTTTTTTTTTTTTTTTTTTTTTTTTTTTTTTTTTTTTTTTTTTTTCAGGTTTCCTTTTTAAATACATTTCTCGATGTATTTAATTGAGCAAAACAAGGGAGTCCTAGCCCAGAGCCTCTGGGGGTTGTTAACGCTGTAAATTTAGTCCCTAATTTTTTTTATTTTGTTTTCTAGTATCACAGATAATTGTTGCACAAAACTTGGCATATATAGGATAATGTTAAGCAGTAAGGTAACCAAGCACATGCTGTAAAAGGTAATGAATGCTTGTTTAAAGAATCTTTTCACCTTTTATGGATAACAAATGCAATCCTTGGTCCCTCCTGCCCCCCCTCTTTTTTCACCACACTGATTTTTTTAATCTGTTTCGGTTTTGTCCACTTGAAAGGGCAGTTTATATATCCTAACACTATCCTATAAGTCTCAACAACCAGGAATCTCTGTTTTCAAAAGAGACCTATCCTACACTTGGGTATTGAGTCAATTCTTTGTGTATGAAATGATGTACAAATCAATGTTTTGAAAATAATGATCTTGAACTTTCTAAGTTAAACAGAAAAAAAAAAAACCTGTTTTTTTTTTTTTTGATTGTTTGCCATATTTGGGTGGGTTTACTCTTAGAATCGCATGCTGTAGAAATGCTAAAAAGTGCATATTGGACTAAAGTCCGTAGATGTTTTTTCTTTGAAGAAATAACCTGTTTAAAAACTGTAACCATTGTCGCTGTATTCATTTCTTGTTGCTACTCTGTGCATAAATCTATGAGGAACTCCAGTACAAAGCTATGCACGTTGGGGAGTAGCGTGATAAAGTCACTTTTTTTTTTTCTTTTTTTTCTTTTTTTTTTTTTTTTTTTTTTTTTTAAAAAAAAAAAAAAAAAAAAAAAAAAAAGAAAACAAACAAAAAAAAAACCACAAAGCAGCCTGTTCAAAACAATCGCTGTTCAAAAGATTCTGGGGAGTGGGAGGAGGGAACCTTGACCATCTTCTTTCTAAATCAGTTCCTCACAAGCCAGTTCCTCTTGCAGGATGAGTCCTTTGCATCTGATCAGAGTCGTTTTTGTAATGAGCAGGTTTTCCTGGCTTTCTTTTCAAATAAAATGTTAAAAGCAGCAGTGTTTGGACAGCAGATTGTTCTGTTAAACTTTCCTATCTTCTCACTGTATCCAGAAATGCTCCTTCCTAGCAGCAGTAGTAGCTTTTCTCCATTTTGTTTTTTCTGCAACATTCTGTACAAAAATGTGCTGTAATTGTGCGTTAGGCCTGGATTTGGCATAAAAGATGAATTCCCTCTTACTCTCTTTCATGAAACTACTCTGTAGAGCTTTCTCCACGCCCTGTATCCCTCTTCACCTTTTGTATTTAATTTTAAAGTCAGTGTACTTCAAGAAAGCTGGATGCAAGATAGATACTATATTAAAATGTAATGTTATTTAAGATGTAATAAAGCAGTTTGACATGAGTTTTGACTGATCTGTTTTGCAGCTTTATTGCTCAGCCCACCAAAAAAAAACCCCCAGCTTCTGGCAGGATTGGAGTTGTGAAATTAGACGTGCAAGAGGAAGGGAATGATGTCCCCAGACAGGTGGTTTGGTGTTGTTAAATGCCTTGGCTTGTTGATGGTTTCGTGCAGGTAACTCCAAAGGCAAAGTGGCCACTTGTGGTTGGTGTGACACCCATCACAACATGCCCTGTGTGGGGCGTGAGGGCAACACCTGAAGGGGGAAATCAAAGCAAAATGCCCAGTAACTTCTTCTAAAACTTTTGTGTCCTCTAATAGGAAGAGAATTGAGTGGGGATCCTGTGTTGTTGCCATGTGAGGATCTGGCCCCACCAGCTCAGGTGTCACTGCTGGCTGTCCTTGCTGTAGGTGCTGAGCAGGGTAAGTCAGTGCCATTTTCATGCTCAGTAGGGACAAACTCCCCCACAGGGCAGGATTTTACCTTAAATAATTCCTTTAAGGAAGGATTTTGTACCCAGGGAAGCAGATTCCTGACCCGAGGTGTTGAACTGGTTCAGCAACCTGGTGTGGGTCGACTGGAGGGCTTTGGTTTGCATCTTTATTGAGTAAAGTCTCTTGTTCTGACCTAAACAAAAGTGTGTTTTCCCTCATTTCACATCCACCAAGAGAAATTCCAGTGCCATGGCTTGGTTTCTTACCAAACATGGAAGTTCTCAGCCTCAGTGGAGAAGCTTTGAAAAGCTGTGGGTGTGGAAAATATGATGGTGACATGACTTTAACCAGCACCATGAACTGAGCCTTGGGCTTTTGGACTCCACAGACTGGTAAGTAGCTCATGGCTGGAAATGCTTAAATTTGGGCTTAAATTCCAGTTTTGGTTTTTTCCAGTTCCAAGTTGGTTTTTTTCCCCATATTCATGTGGAATATTTTTATTCCAACAGACTTTGTGTGTTGGCTTTCTGTGGTCTGTAATAGAGTCAATGAAGACATGACCTGCCCTAATCCCTGTGTGACATCACCATGTCCTGCCCATGCTGGGCCATAAAATACCTGCCAAGACAGTACAATAATGGGCTTCCCTGGGGCTGGAATACTCTCAAGGAGCTGCAGGGAAGGAGGAGAGAACAGATTTCCCAACCTCAGTACCCAGAGTTGAGACTTAGAATATTTTCTGTGCCCAACGTGGCCTTTAATTTCTTAGTGAATTAAATGTATTTTAAAAGATCTGAGGTTCTACTGCCAGTAGGGGGAAAAAAAAAAAAAAGGGAGTTGGACATTCTTCCTTTTGTGCATTAAGTGCCCTGGAGTGTTTGAAATCAGCTGTGAGACACACTTAAAGTGACTGATTGAATCATGCCCTGTGAGAGCTAAAAATAGAATAATCTGGGTTCTGGGAAGTGGCAGAGTAAATAAAGAATAATAAAACCTGTCACCCATGCTGAGTTCTGTGGCACTCGGTCCAGGCAAGTCAGGAGCCTGCCTGGTTTTGTGATTAACACTTTGTAGTGGAGGTGTCACCAGGAATTCAGATTAGAGGGGGCAGAAGAAAGGGAGTGCCTGGTGAACAAGTTGCAACAGCAGTTGGTTATTTCTGCACTGATGATCTGTGTTCCTTCATATCATCATCTTCAGAGGCTGCCTGGGATTTAAACATCAGGATACCGTGGATCTGAGCTGGGTTGGTCACTGTTACACTTCACTGTGTAATAACTTTTTGTGAAAAGTTGGATTTGTTCTGTGTGGGGGCTGTATGAGAAAGTTTGGAAAAACTAAACCATAGGATTTTGGTTTCGCTCACCTAGGATCCCTAAATTGGGATGATAAAGGGTCCCCAGTAAACCCTAATTCTGGAACTGCCTACTCAGCTTTTTCCTCAAATGTCAGTGCTATAAAGTCTCCAGGGAGTATTTTTAAAGCATGTATGGGATAGTCAGCATTTGTAAAATTACCACTTAGTGGGGAAAAACCAGAAATGTGAATAAAACCTGGGTGAACTCATTGCTCAGAGCTGGCTGCTCTAGAAACACAGGGCCCTGCACAGCACTCATTCAAGTAATTCCTGCCTTAACCCCAGACAGCTTTTGTCATAAAATAGAACAAAGAGAATCTTCCTGCCTTAATTATTCATAAAGCCATTTGCTGGAGCTGAGTGCAGTGAGACGTGATGGACCCTGAGGGGTGGGGGATCATCTGGGGAGCCGGGAGAGTGGCAGAGGAGAGCTCTGCTGGATGGAACAGATCCTTAAGATGGCCCAGGAGAGCAGGAGGGGAAGGTGTGGCTGGGGAGGACGGAGAACAAGGTGTGGCCGGGGAGGACGGAGGGGAAGGTGTGGCCGGGGAGGATGGAGGGGAAGGTGTGGCTGGGGAGGATGGATGGGAAGCGCTCTGGGAGCACAGACCGGGCAGCTCCATCTGGTGGTAAAAACCTCTGGAATGAGTGCCAGGAGCACAGTGTGTTGTGACAAAGCAGCCTGGGCCGAGCTCCTGCAAGCAGGGAACCCCCTCCCTGTGTCTCCAGGGCCTACTGAGGATGTTGTGGGGTGTTTTTTTTTTTTCCATAAAGCCCTGCAAACAAACCCATTCCTCGTGTTGGCTTTTACGGGGAGGTTCTTCTCTTCGTGTAGGAACTTGAGCTGGTGGAAAGGGAGAGGTTAAAAACAGCCACTGGTGGCTGGAGCAGGGGCTGCTGGACAACATCAGATCCTGCTGTTGAGAAAATAGTGGATGGAGATGATGGAGAGCCTCAGTACTGCCCTGCACTTGTCTCCCCCTCTGAACTCCCTCTCGGTATTTTTGCCTCGCTGTCACCGCTCTGATCCCAACTCCTTGCTCTTCCCAGGCTTCCCCCTCTGCTCCAGGTAGGAATTGGGATGTGGAGTGGCTAATGAAGGTGTTTTGGTGGACGGGGTGTTCATGCTGACGTCACTGTGATCCCAGTGCTGTCCTCTGCCCTCCTGCGTGGGAATGATCCATACTGTGGTGTGGGAGAGAACCAAAACAGAAATCCCAAGTCCTCATTTTTAAATCAAGCATATTTTAAGATCTGTGGAATTCTAATGTGCAGTTTTTGTCTCCTTTGCACAAGGAGGGTTCCTGGTGAGTGAGGAGCAGCAGCAGCTCCTCTCCCCTGGCTGGTGCTTGGCACAGTGAGTCACACTGGAATGACAGGGAACTGCACGAATTTATCTCAGCTTCCATTGATTTTCCGCCATAGTTTCCTTATCTTTGTTTTATTGATTTACTTTCTGTGATATTATAAGCAAAGCTGAAAAAAGGTCCAATGGGAATAATCACATTTGATCCTTGGCTCCCTCAAGCTGTTGCTTAATCCCAGGGGAAG